GAGAGGTGCTCCAGCCCCCCATCATCTTTGTGCCCCTCCTCTGGGCCTGCTCTAAGAGGTCCATATACCTCTTGTGCTGAAGGCTCCAGATCTGGACCCAGCACTCCTTGTGGGGTCTCACGAGGGCAGAGCTGAGGGGCAGAGTCACCACCTCAGCCAGACAGCTGGGGTTCCTTCTTGTTTATCAAATTGTTCACTCCTGCCCAAAGAGGTCAGTCCCAATGGTTGCCATCCTTTCAGGGCATCTCACTGGACCCAAGACAACTCCCCAAATGACTACTTTTTGCTCAGAATTGCTTTTCTGCCACCTTAGCAAAGGAGATCAGCCATCAAGGAGTCCAAAGTGTGCCAAAGCAAGTGCAAAGAGAGGTGTGGGGGGAAAAGGTGCTGAATGAGTTGTTAGGTCAGCTCAAGCCATGACAGGTACCTTTGCCCTCACTCCTGCTTTCAGTGTGACCTAATATTAAGGGTGCTGACAAAGGAGCTCTGTCAAGTCCTGTGGCTGCAGTTGGAGGACACATCACACCAAAACACGGCTCCTCTGCCATGATACCTGCACAGCAGGCAAAGGAAAGGTACAGCTGCTGATGCCTCAGCTATTTCTGTGTAGAACTAAGCCCCCAGTGAAGGTGGATGTAAGGCTCTGGACTTTGCACTTTTGAAGAGGCTGAGGCAGAAATACATTCTCTTCTGCCTGCACTGCAGAGGAGAGGTTGAAGCCTGCAGCAGAGGGATGGGAAGGGCAGGTGGGGTTAGTGACCTCTCAAGAAGCCATGGCAAGGTGTGCTAGCACTGGTGTGTCATCCCTGTACAAACACTACCTGCCTCTTGGCCAGAGGGGTTGTATAACCATACCAACGTTGTCAGAAAAGTACCTTCTGTAGGCAGAACTTCAGTTATTTTCTCACTAGATCATGAGACATCAGCTCTACAAATCATGCTATGAGGTATTAAGAGTACTGTTTTACAGTTTCTCATTGATACAAAGAATACTCTTCCCTTCTTCCCTTTCTCTTGCTGGGGCCTTTGCAGTTAAGCCCTTGGCACTGAAGAAGTCTGACTTTCCAGCAGGAAAAATCTGAAAACAAGACTCAAAATGCTTAAAACTCCCTGCTCTAAAAAAGTGTGAAGCAGTTCATCTGTAAATTCTCTTGTCAGAAAAATAGCATTAGTTTATAACTAATATCCAGGCTTGACTGACACCAATTATTCTAATCCTCTAAAACAAATCTCCTTAAAATCATTCTGCCAGCTTGCTAATGTCCTTTTTTAGTCTACTGAACTCTAATGTGTGCCATGCTGGCAGTGAAAGCAACAGATATGCAGGATTCAGAAGTTTTCAAAATTAGATGAAATGGAAAATAAGAAGGCACAGAATTAATTTTAGAAGTGAAAACAAAATTCTCTATTGTAAGGATAAACAGAGCTTTATATGGCAGAGGGATTGCTCATCTATAATTGAATGATGTAGGATTTTTAATTAAATTGTAGTGACACCTTTCATGCCTGAGATGCACAGCACTGTAAACAAACCTTATGCATGTCCAAAAGTGCAGGTGATGTGAACTGCCTGATTTCACACCCTCACCTTTGTTTGTGCCCTGTGCAACACTGACATTGTACATGGTCTGTGATAGCTTTGTTTGGAGAGCAGAGTGGTCACAAGAAGTGCTGTGGAAAGTTCAATGCCTGGTCCTGTTCCAGCTCTTTTGTTCTTCTGGGTGGTTCTCATCCACTGCAGTATACACTGAGAACTGCTTTGCCTTTTTATTGGCAAGTTCGTGGCTCAGCTTGGGAATTACTGCAATTGCAGCCCAGCATCTCTCAACTCAGCTTTGGTACCCCTAAGGGGAATGAGAGAGCTCTTAAAGAGTGTCTGTGGGCTAGGCAGGAATTTGTCCTTTCTTGGTGATGAACAAGGTGATGTGTGATAGAGGCTGTGATTGCTCAGGTCACAAACTATAATGATGGAATGAAAACTGTTTCTGGGTGCAGTCTGCATGCATAGAGAGGTTCTAACCTAAGCAATCACAACCTCTATCACACACCTTCATTATTATCATCATCAAGGGACAAAGAGATGAAGTAAAATGGCACTGGTAAATAAAACTAAATAGAATCACTACTCTTTTAAATAAAACTAAATAGAATCACTACTCTTTGTTCCTCATGATGTTTTATCCTCACATGGAACAGTAATGCATCTGACTGCTATTGCAAATGGTAGAATGAAAAGCACATCATGCTTCAAGGGCCAAAACATTTTGTCCACCAGAAAACCTGATTTGCCAACAAAGAGCAGCACATGCCCTCCTGAGGAAGACATGACATCAATGGTGGAGGAATAAAAGTATTTCCAACTCTGAACATCACTCTGCAACTGGGGCTGTGGACTCAGTTTTCTAAGACAAATCTCTAACTCTCTAAGGTGACTTTTTCTGATGGAGACCTGGAATCTGTCTAACTCATAATTTCAAACTTTCAAAAGGAGAGAAATAAAGCTGTAAAGACCAACTTCAGCTACTGCCAGAAGGCATCCCTCTTAGCCCTTGACTTGTCAAAGTGGCATCATTACACTTGATAGAAAGGCTGGAAGTTCAGTGTTTACAAATACCTGATTCTGGTACAGGACTGTATATCTGCACGTGTGTGTGAACAAGAAAAGGGGAAAAATCAAAGGGTTTTGGCACATAATGGCTTTTATATAATAAAAATGTGTACAATAATATGCATCAACAATATTTCCTAATGTATCCAAATTTCATAATGTTGAGATTTTGCAGTTGAACTAATCTTGCATCCCTTGCTTATTATGACAACTGCTCTTACCCTATCATACATGACTGATTTCTCAGATAAGCATTAAGGGATTAATAAGATTCAGAATTGTATCTTATTAATTATAACCCCACTTTAATGTGAAGTGTGTACCTAAATCAAATAAGGTCCTTTGACAGTCCATATCTCACCACATACGAATTTATCTGATGTAATGTTGCTCGGCTCTCGACAGAGCTGTCAGGGACTAACTTTAGAGGATTAGACCTGTGCTTAGTGCTGTGCACTGAGGGTAGACACCACTGGATTCAAGGAGAACAAACGTGGAATACGTGACCCGCTCCTGCATCTGCCGGGGCCTGGAGTTTGCAGCTCGAGCAGCACGGACTGCTTGTAATCCCGTCAGGATTCGCGACGTGAAAGGGAAGAAAAGAACCAGCACAAATTTTGCCTTTTTTGGGGGTGAAATGTGCCGGGTTCCAGCCGGAGCCGTCAGGATTCGCGACGTGCCGTGCCGTGCCGTGCCGGTTGCTGAGCGGGCTCGGGGGGATCGTCCCGCACGGGCAGGCGCACACAGGGACCGCGTCCCGCACGGGCAGGCACACACACACAGGGACCGCGTCCCGCACGGGCAGGCGCACACACACACACACACACGGACCGCGTCCCGCACGAGCAGGCACACACACACACACACACAGGGACCGCGCGCGTCCCGCACGGGCAGGCACACACACACACACACGGACCGCGTCCCGCACGGGCAGGCGCACACACAGGGACCGCGTCCTGGGGGCTCCGGCCGGGGCTCGGCCCGCGCTGCCCCCGTGGGGTGCGGGTGTGTCAGTGTGTCTGTGTGCGCGGACTCCGCGGGGCCAGCGCAGGTGGCCGCCGAGCAGGGGCATGGCTCGGCACACGGACAGCGGCTGCGGTGCTCTGTGGCATCGGTAACTTCACAGACACGGACTCAGGCACGGCCGCCCTGTCCCGCCCGGTTTGCCCGCGGGCAGCGCCTCTCCGCAACGTGACTTTGCTTCGGTTTTGGTTTCTGTGGAGGCTTCTCTTGTTTGTTTAGCAAAACCCGGGCGTGTTGCATGTGTGAGCGGAGCAGAGCGGCTGTCTGCTGTTCGCTTTTCGGGAGGCATTTTACTTGAAAGCATGCTGCCCGGTCGGAACAGACCCAACAGCGACCGTGGGACCGTACTTCGTGGCCGGCCGGTGCAGGGACAATGTTACCGGCAAGGGGCACGCGCGGGAACAGCGAGTTTTGGTTTGGGACGAATTTTGTCACGGTTTGACCGCAGCTGTCCCGTGGTGGCACGAAGCCGCCGACGGTCCGGGAGGTGCTTCCTGCCAGAGCCAAGCAACCTGGCGGGCCCTTTGGGATAAATAATTCAGGGAAGTGCTGTTTTGCTATGTAAACCTTTTGTAAAAGGTACATTTCTCGCTCAGAAGAACTGCATCTGCCGCTTAATGCAACAGTCCCGTCTGGTGCTGAAAGTGCCGCTGCGGTAGGCGGAGGTAAGAGGCGGCCGGAAAGCCCCGGCGGGGCATTGGCAAACTTCACTTGGGCTGTTCCAAGAGTTCCGGAGCGGCGGAGCAGGACGAAGCAGGGCGAGGCGAGGCGAGGCGCGAGGGTCGCAGCCGACATGCAGGGGGAGCATTCCTCAATGGCGCTGCCCTCGCCCACTCCGGGGGACCGCGGGCCACGCCCCCCGCGCACGTGTGGGAGCCCTCGCCGCGCGTTCCCCGCGGGCCGGCCCCGCCCCGCCCCACGCGATTGGCTGTCCGGGCCGCCGCGGGCGGGGAGGGGGCGGGGCGATCGCGCCGCGGCGGGCGGCCCCTCCCACGTGCGGCGGCGCGAGCACACATCCCGCACGTAGCCGGCGCGTTAATCAGCGCGGGGCCATCTGCCGCCCTCCTGCCGCGGGCGGGGGCTGCCCGCGCCCTTCCCGCCCGCCCCGGGCCGCTCCCGCACACTGCCGGGCGCCGGCGGCGGCAGCAGCAGCAGCGCGGGGCTTCGGCAGCACCGCCGCTCCCGCAGCGTCGGGCCGCGGTGCGTAGCCGAGCCCGCAGCGGCGAAAGTTTTGCCTCTCCTCGCCTGGCGTCGCGCCGCGGCGGAGCCCCTGCCCGGCTCGGCCTGGAGCGGGCGGCGGCCCCGCGGGCATCGCCTCCCAGCGCGGGCGCCGGCGGAGCAGCGGCGCGCCCGTCCCCGCCGCGCCATGCCGCTGGGGCACATCATGAGGCTGGACCTGGAGAGAATCGCCCTGGAGTACGTCGTGCCCTGCTTGCACGACATCGGCTTCTGCTACCTGGACAACTTCTTGGGGGAGGTGGTGGGGGACTGCGTGCTGGAGCGGGTGAAGCGGATGCACCGCGACGGGGAACTGGCCGACGGGCAGCTGGCCGGCCCCAGCCGCGGCGTCGCCAAGCGGCACCTCCGCGGCGACCAGATCAAGTGGATCGGAGGCACGGAGGAGGGCTGCGAGGCCATCAACTTTCTCCTCACGCTGATAGACCGGCTGGTGATGTACTGCGGGAGCCGGCTCGGCAAGTACTACGTGAAAGAGCGATCCAAGGTAAGGGTCCGCGGGGCCCCGACCTGCTGTCCGCCCGCGGCACCGGCTCCCAGCCGGCCCGACCCGCCTCGCAGCTGCCGCTGGGACCTGACCGAAACTTTCCGCGGGCGCTCGCCCGCGCTGTCGGGGGTGCCTGCGGGTGCCCGTGGCTCGGGCAGTCCCGCGGGGCTGTCCCCGGGTGGCGGAGGCGCCGTGCCTGCCGGCGGGACTCCCGTGACGGCAGCCGCTCTCCAGCCCTCGCCGCCGGGTGCGGGGTCCCGCTGGAAGCGGGGCCGCCCCCTGCGGGTCCCTCGCCCCGCCGGTGCCAGCGGCGCTCCGGGCCGGCTCCTCGCCGCTCCCTTGCTGCGTTTTCGCCGGGCTTTTCGGCTGCCGGACCCCGTCCGGTCCCTTGCCTTTCCACCTGACACCGGCCGTCACTTCTGCAGGCGGCTCTTGGCTCCTGGCGGTGGGCTGGAGCCGGCTGCACCCCGCTTCTGGTTGTGCTCACCCCAGGTGCGGACAGGATGGACCCGTGCGGGGCGTACCCCACCGTACCCCGTCTAACCTTGACCACGTTTCGCGGGGGAGCAAGCTCTCCATTCTCTCCCTGCGAACGAACGTACCCGGCTCTGATCCGATTGTTTGGATGTTTTCGCACATGTATTATTATCCTGAATAGTTTCGCGGTTCCAACTCTTGTCGCCGTTCTACAGCTGAAGAGATTATCGTTACTGAATTGAGTATGCACAGAATACGGGATGTTTAGTGGCTTGAGCACAGCAAACTTTTGTTTTAAAGAGATAAGTTGTTTTTGCCTAGGCTTTCTCAGAAATGGAGGCGAAACTTGTATTATTCTTTCCCAATGAAGTTTATTTGCACTGGCAATGACATTAGTGTGGGATAACTTGTATTTTCTTTCCTTACCTGTTTTGCTACGGCAAAGTGAACTAGCTTGGAACTAAGTTTACTTTGTTGTCCTGAATGCTTATTTCTTTATTTCTGACTTGACATAGTACATTTTCATAGTACATTTTCAGAGTACAGACTTGACATAGAACATTTTCACTGCTTTTAGAGTATGCCAGAAACAAAACAATGAATCTTTTAAAAAATGACAATAGGGAGAAATTAGGCATTTCTCTAGATCCTAACTTGCACTGGACTAAGGGCATGTGTGAGTGGTATTGTGATTCTTCCCTGAAAAATGAAAAAAAAGTACAGTGATGTTCACCGGTTGCTTGGGAACACACTGAAACCTGTGCATACACCCCCACACATTTACACACAGCAGTGGGAATAATAAAGGTTCCTTACTCTTTGCTCCATTGTATTACTGATCATCAATTCAGTTAAAGCTTGGGGTAGGTATGTTTTAAAATGTGGGTAGGTTGGATTGTACTTATTCCTGTTGAGACCCTTGTATTAGGAGGCATAAATAACCTGCCTTGGCACACCTTAAAGGTCATCCCCATCCTTTCTCTGGGTGATTTCTGTTTACCTGTTTACTACTGAAAGTGCATTTCTGGCTAAGGGGGTGTGTGTAGGGGTGGATATTGTCTGTGTGTGGAGGGGGGGGTGGTTAAAAGTTGGATTGGAGTGAAAAGGAGGCTGTCCAGCCTTTTTACAAGGTATTTGTAAAACAAATCAGCTGGATGAATGAAGGATGTTGGTGCTGGCTGGGAAGAAGCATGTTTTCAGCAGTGACTTTGGGTTGTAGAGATGATTTTAAAACAGTTTTGGTGTTTTTGAAGGCATTCTTGTACAAATAGTAAAAAATAGAACAGAACTTGTTTTATAAATAGGCAGCAAGCTATTTACAATGAAGAAAGAGTTCTGGCTCTTGTGCTTTAATGTGAAAGTTGTCAGACTCCAAACAGCACATGGAAGTGCTGCACAACAGTCTGGGACTGAAAGGGACTCAATATCTCAATATTGTTTACAAAACCAAATGCAGAGAAATTTTCATCAGATGTTAATGGTAACCAATCCTCTTGTTATAATAAGAAGTACCATGGGTATGTGAGGCTCTGGAATAGCAGCTGCTGTCTGTAACTGAGATGTGGGATGCCTTCAGCAGGAAGATTATTCCTGTGACTAACAACTGATTACTACAGTGCGTGCAGGTTCCCACGTCGGTTTAAGACATTTCCCTTCCACCATAAAATCTTATTCTGCTTTTCATCTGAAGTCTTATGAATGCATACACACAAATCTCAAATTTAAATCCAGTATTTTTATCTGACAGATTATGCATGTAAATGAATGCCCACAAAACTTTCACAGCTTAACATTTGTGGGGTTGTGGGGTGTTCATGGGCAACTGGGCCAGAACATCTTTGTGGGACATGTGCTGTTGTAATTTATTGTTTTGGTATATAGATATTACTCAAAACTAAGAGTTCAGAACAATTGGTTTAAAATGTAAGCATTTAGGTACATGTTAACTCAATTTGTCATGAAAATGTACTTATGTTGTATGAGCCCATCATTTTTTAAAGGTTTATTCTTTTAATAAGTAGTATGACTTTAGTCTTCAGCCTAAGTGTTGGAAGAAGGCGAGAGATTTGCCTGGTAAATGAACTTAGGTCAGATTATGTCAGTTCAGTGTGAAGTGCTTCATATTTTTGTAGCTACACAAACATAAGTCCTGAACAACTTTTGTCCAATAATTGAAATTTTCCTTTCAGCTAAATGAGAGAAACAAGTCAGTTGGGATTGTGCTGTTGCCAAATTAATTTCAAGAGAGTTAAGATTGCATCAAAGAAAATGAACAGAAGTAAAATTTTCAAGGGTGCTGGATATTCATTGGAGCTGCTGGCTGACATTTGAGGGCTGATCATGAAATGTAACCTGCCATCTTTGCAGACCAGTGATACAAATATATCTTTGGTGTAAGTTGTATTTTAAAATACTGGCTGGTTAAATGATCAAAGCATGGTTAAAGGCTGATGGACGCAATGCACTGCTTGTTGGCTTTTGTATTCTCATCAACTAGTCTCCATTTTCTAGTAAGATAATAGAATGGTTCCCCTTTTCTAGTAGGTAAATGACTAAGGACATGACTGAGGCATAATTGACCCAAGTTCACTCTTCTCCTCAGAGTGAGAAGATTGATGTCCTTGTGCAGAGGGATGTTCTGGCCTGAGGACAGAAGTCACTCTGTTTTTGAGGACCTGTCACTACTCTGCTTTACTTGGTGGAGAAAAGCTGGTGGGTGTTTCAGGTGAGAAGCAAAGCTGCAGCTTGCTCTGTGAGGCCAGTCACCCAGAGTGCCTTCTGGATCAGGTGCTGCTCCAGGGACTGCAGGTGAAAGGATGATGTGCTGCAGCTTCTGACTCCCCAGGTCCCAAAGTTCCTTCTTGGGCTTAACTAGCATTTGCAGGGGCTTGAGGGGGGTGCCATGTAGGAAAACACTGTACTATAAATTTCTCCTTCAAGACTTGAGAAATGTTTTGGTCATGGGTGGAGTGTCTTTGGAGGTTTTTTTTGCTGTTTTTTTAGGAGACTCATTGGAGCCTGGGGGAATTTGGAAGTCCTGATGTGAGCAGGCAGGGGTCAGAGTATGGCAGGAACCAGGCTGGCTGGCTGATGGGTAGAAGTGTTAAAGCTGTGTTTGCAGTGGGGTGTCTGCATAATTCATCTGCTGCTGATGCCCTTTTCTCATTTTGCCTCTGCTGGAGAAGGGCAGCTGTCCCTGTGGCTGGGCAGGGTCCCAGAGCAATGCCAGCAGTGCCTGCTGCCCTGGGTACCCCAGCTGAGTCAGCTCTTGACGTGCTGCCAGCACTGCCTGGATCCTCATGCTGAGGGGTGGAAGGTACTTTGAACTGGTGTGGCTGCGCTCTCAGTGGACTCTGCACCTCCTGCTCTGAGTCACAGATACCCTCTTGGGTACCACCAGGGGCTGAAATCCATGTCAGGGCTGCCACTGGGGACTTTGAGCCCATCTTGCACCTGCTGGACACCAGTGAGTCCTGCTGGTTTGAAAATAAAGCAAGAATTTGTAATCTTAAGAGCTGCTCTGTGCTGAAGGAAGCCTGTGACTGATGTTTTCAGCTCAGAACAGAACTGCTCACGTTGTGTCAAGTGTATGGCCTAAAGTTAAAAAATAAAAAAGTGTTTTGAATGTAAGATTAGTTAATTTAGAAGTTCCTATGGGATGTGAACCTTCTCAAAAACTTGCTTCCTCTGCTTGTTGCCATAACACAACCCTGGTGGACCCTCTGTAATGGTCACAGGAGAAGTAGGTCTTTTGGTAGCAGTTCATAGCTAGTGAGTGTTTGCTGGAAACCAGAGTGGGTTCTTCTGCCTATCAAATGATGGGGTAGTCCTAGGTAGGTTTTGAAATATGGTCTGCCTAGCAGATTGTTACCAAGATTTCTGTTCCTGAAGATTGAAGAAATGGATGAGATGTTACAGCAGTAGTTTTATAAAGTCCCTTATAACTCAGGTAAGGAGGTAAGGTATTTTTGCATTTATATATGAAGAAAGAAAAGTGCTGTTCTATAACATTAAAATTCTATCCTTTGCAATTAAAACACAGTGAAATGCTGAATTTTCTGACTTGAGGTACTGATTTGAAGAGTGAGATAACAGAAAACTAGCTATAGCAGAGTGGTACTGCCCCTTGAGATATACTGGCTTATTGTACTTACAAGGTATTTTTGATACTTGGGTAGCAATGTGCCTTACAATTAGTTTACAGTGGGAGGTCTGATGAATACCACCATCTAGAAGAAATATGCATAATTTTTCTTCTAATCAAATGCACATGTTCTGCCATAATGCACAAGTTCAAATCTGTTCTTCTGGCCAGCTGTCAGCAGAGTCCAGAGCCCGTGGAACTGTAAATACAACAGACAAGTCATTTTATGATATGAAACTGAAGAATTCAGCATTGGCACCGATCCTAGTGTGGTTGCTTTGGCTCAGTGTCAAAGCTGATGTTTATATCTGTGTTTGTCAAGCAAGATTAGTTAGCCTGGTTAATTATACACAGGAATGTATAATTTTTACTTGACAAT